TTGTAACTTCAAGAAGGCAGATTTTTTCCTTGCTCTATCTGAAAGATACCTTTCTCGTGAGTTGTCATCAGTGGGACAGGGAGGAGGAAGAAAGTGAGAATATAAAGACAACAGGAAAATGAAGTGGGTGTGGATAAAGAGAGAGCAATCCTCAACCAAAAAGACTCGGATGGTCATTACAGTCTGGTGTCACAGAGACGGAAAGAGCCGACTGACGTCAGGAAGGAGGTGCATCTTTGTTTGATTTTCCTTGAGCTTCTTAGTCCTTTCCTTTGAGGAAATCCAGTAAACAATCACTACTTTTCTCTCTGCAGAACTCAAGAGGTCTGAGTTGCTACTCAGACCTCTGAGTATATTCTCATTATAATGAGCTTATACTCATATATAATGAGTATAAGCTTGTGATAAATTTGTTCATTGACCACACAAAACCACTTTGAAATAAATGTAAATAAAATGCTTTAGAACATTTTATAGAAAAGTGAGAAATTCCATGTCCTCCTTCACTGAGCTAGTGAAGAACATACCAGAGAATAAACTAATATACAATTCTTCATTAATACCTAATAAGAGTATATCGATTATTTTGATTTTTGTTTTTATTGCTTTTGAGCTCTCTCTTTCTCTCCTACACACACACACACACACACACACTCACCTGGGATATGAAAATAGAATAGATAACTACCAAAGGAGAATTCAGGTAGATAGTCACATGATCACTTTTGTAATCTAAATAAAACCTGAAATTTAGGACAAGTGCCTTTATATCATTGGATGTATCCAATTGATCATGGGTATTAAAAGATATTTCAGATTTCTGCTTCTGCTATTTCATTGTTGGTATACAAAAATGCCTTTTTTTCTGAATATTGACTGTATCCTGCTGTTTTGCCAAATTCACTTATTAGGTTGAGTAGTTTTTTTGGTGGAGTCTATAGGATTTTCTATGCACACTATTGTGTCATCTACAAACATTGACAGTTTTGCTTCCTCCTTCCTGATTTGGATGCCTTTTATTTCTCTTTCTTTTCTGACTGCTGTTGCTAGGACAAAAATGGAACTGCCTTTTGACCCAGCAATTCCACTGCTGAGATTATATCCTAAGAACCCTGAAACCCCAATCCAAAAAAACTTATGCACCCCAATGTTCATAGCCAAGCACACAATTTACAATAGCCAAGTGCTGAAAGTAACCTATGCGTCCATCAGTAAATGAATGCACAAAAAAACTGTGGTATATTTACACAATGAAATTTTATGCAACAGAAAGAAAGAAGGAGCTCCTATTCTTTGCAACAGCATGGATGGAACAGGAGAACATTATGCTAAGTGAAATATGCCAGATGGTAAGGGACAAATACCATATGATCTCAACTTTAAGTAGAACCTAATCAACAAAACAAAGAAGCAAGCAAAATATAACCAGAGACATAGAAATTAAGAACAATCTGACAGTAACCAGAGGGGAGGTGGGAGCAGATAATGGGGGAAGGGTTTTCAGGAACTACTATAAAGGACACATCGATAAAACCGAGATGGGTGGACGCAGCAGAGGGAGGTGGGGATGGCTGGGTGGGGAGTGGTGGAGGGTAAATGCAGACAACTGTACTTGAACAATAATAAAATATTTTTCAATTTCCCTTTTACTTTAAAAAACAGATGATATTCCAGGGAATGTTTTCCTCCATAAAAATGTAAATTTTTTACATGAATATAAGTGGACATGAAAGTCGTAGCAGATGCAAGACAGGTATCTTCCCAAACACAGTGCTGATTGAATCCTTACTGAATTATATAGCTTTCTTCTTCCATTATATTAGCAAAATGAAGAAAAACTCCATTTGGTAAAAACATTCAAGAGCAGAAAAATCAGCCCAAAAGGAGATGAAGGTCTTCTGTGCATTCCAATTGGCTCTATTGTGAACTTCCAGAAAAGGCAGTCGAGCCACGCAAAGGGCTTGACTTGATACAAAACTGGCAAACTGAGTTCTAGAATTTGTTCTTCCTCTTTTTTAAGCTCCGTTGGTCAGTTTTATTTCTAGACAGAGATAGGGTCATCACAATTCCAGAATTAACTCAAAAATAAAGTAACAAAATATTTGCAAAACCCATCAACATACACAATTTATTCAGTGTGTCTTCATTTAGCACAAGTAGGTCAAAATCAACAATGTTTTTTTCTTAAGTAGTAATTGTTGGAGAAATAGCATGAAGAATTAAGGTCCCAAACAAATGAGTCTCTAATACCATCTTTTCCAACCAACAGGCATCTCAGGCTGAATGGGTTAGACTATTAATTTTATGTGAATGAAAACAATAAAATACAAACTGGGGATTAAATAAAACTCACTGCACCTTGAAGTAAAAAGTCCAAGGAAAACCTGGCATCAGCTGCGGGTTTCTTTCTCTGTTAAAGCTGCATGCTCTGAGCTGGATCCATTTTCAGACAGGCCCTTCCAGAACTGCATACTTTCCATCCTCTAAGGTTTGGGTCCTGTGGGGAAAATAATACATTCTTCCACCAGAAGTACTCAAATAACCTCAGTGACTCTGTTTGAAACATGAGACATTGAAACATCATTAAACATCCCTCTTTGTCCCAATCAGTTTACATCTTTATGTCCTGAACTGGTATTAGAGCCCATTGCAATGCATGTGGACTGAGAGTGGAAAATGAGGGTAAACAGATGTGGAATGTCAAATATATCTGACAATATATTTGTAAGGTGTTCTTCTACCATTGGGTAAAATGTCTTAGTATTGTCAGCATACGTTGCACGTTGTAGTTCTAATTTCTGCAGCTGTAAACACATACAACACTCTTACATACTTATCCCAGAGAAAGGAAGTGTATTTTCAAGCAAACATTTGTACATGACTGTTCACAACAGCTAATTTATGATATCTAAAAACAGGACCCAACTCAATCCCAATTGTTAAATGAACGTATGAACAAGTTATGGCATGTTCTCACAATGAAATATCACTCTGCAATTAAAAATGACTTATTAATACATGTAACAATGTGGATGAATCTCAAAATTATTATGCTGAGTGAAAGAAATTAGACCAAAAAATAAAACACACAAAGATATATTCAGTGATTCCATTTACATAAAATTCTAGAAAATACAAACTAATCAATAATGGCAGAAAAGAAATCAAAATCAGTAATTGCCTAAGGATCATTGGGGGTGGGGTTTAAGGCAGGGATGGGTAGGATGGAAAGTTTAAAGAGCTTCACAAGGAACTTTTGAGGATAATTGATGTGCTCATGATCTTGATCAAGAGTTGACTTTTTTTCTGTAAAAAGGAAGATAATAAATATTTTAGGCATTGCAGGTCATACAGTCTTGTTTGCAACTACTCAACTCTGCAGCTGTATCACTGAAACAGCTATAGATTGAAAGTAATTAAATGGTAGAAGGGTGTTCCAATAAAACTATTTACAAGAACAGGCAGCAATCCACCTGAGTCTGTAGGCCATAGTTTGCCAATCCCTGATCTTGATTATGGTAATAGTTTCACAAATGTGTACATATGTCAAAACTTGTCAAATTGTACACTTTAATTATACAGTAACTAAAGCTATTAAAAAATAAAAACTAAATAAAAATTTTTGCTTCCCCACTATCAATTGGATAAAGCCTAATCCTTTTACCACAGCCTACAAGTCCTTCCATGAACTGGCCTCTGTATTTCTCCTCTATCAGGTTCATTGTCACTTCCTGGTGGGATTTCACCTTTTAGCTGTGCCAAACAGACACCATGCCATTTCAACTCTGTGCCTTTGTTTGGATACTTTCTGCCTAGCAACTGTAAGGGCAGACTTGTGCATCTGCACTTCCAGGATGCATTCCTTCTTTCCTTGTCTTAACCCATCTAGTTTCTTTGCCTCATCTCTATGCCCCCATAATAGTTGGTGTATATATGTACATACATATACAAGGTCTGTCTAAAAGGTATCTGGCCATATAATATGAAAAATAGAGACACTTATTGAAGAAGATACAAGAAACATTACACATACGACAATGACACCTTAGCCCCCTTCAAAGTAGGCACCTTGGGGCTTCACACAGTTCTTCCAATTACCATGAGCTGCCCCATCTTATTTTCCTGAATCTCATCAATGGTCTGAAATTTCTTTCCTTTCTAAGGTGATTTTAGTTTTGAAAAAAGTCAGAAGTCATAAGGCTCCAAATCTGGGCTATAAGGGGGCTGAGTCACCCAGGTGATTTTGTCTTTCACCAAAAACGTCTGCATGAGATATGGTGCATGAACAGGTGTGTTGTCATGATGAAGCTGCCAACCACCAGTCACCCATAGCTGTGACCTTCTGAATCATCCTAATAGTTTCTGCAGAGGAATGTTCAAGTTTAATGTAAAATTTGACACAGATGCATTGCTCTACTCACTGTCATTTTGAATGTGACAGCCACACAGTACACATGCTCACTGAATGGCATCTACTGCCCCCACTGACTACTACAGTGAAGTCATCATTGTTCACACAGGTGCATTCCAGTCCACTCTCCTTGGCTGCCAGGTTACACTTATGTTGTGCAAACCATTCTCATTATATTAACCATGGCTGGACTTTTTGCTGGACTTTTTCCAGACAATTTTTACAGTTACATTGCTCCACAATTTTAAGTATATATGTACATATATAATGTATTTAAGATCAAAATGAATTATTATTCAGTGTCTAGATACTTGACTGAGAGCTTCCTGTGGCTGACACATGATAAATAAATCAGTATGGCACCTATTGTCATATCCATTTTGCAGGTAAGAAAACTTATAGGTAGAGAAATTATATAGTTAGCCTATATGCACATGGCTATAAATAGCCAATCTAGTATTAGAAAAGAGTTCATGACAAATCTCAAATGCTTTCTGCTAATCCTGAGATTTTTTTTAAATTATCAGAAGCTAATCTGTATTTCACATTGCTATCTTTTCCTGACTTGGCCTCTTCCTTTATTTCCTAGATACACCAAAATGAAGACTGCCACCAACATCTACATCTTTAACCTTGCTCTGGCAGATGCCTTGGCGACCAGTACCCTGCCATTCCAGAGTGTCAATTACCTCATGGGCACATGGCCATTTGGAACCATCCTCTGCAAGATAGTGATCTCCATAGATTACTACAACATGTTCACCAGCATATTTACCCTCTGTACCATGAGTGTTGATCGCTACATTGCAGTCTGCCACCCTGTCAAGGCTCTGGATTTCCGTACTCCCCGCAATGCCAAAATCATCAACGTCTGCAACTGGATCCTCTCTTCAGCCATTGGCCTGCCCGTAATGTTCATGGCAACAACAAAATACAGGCATGGTGAGTAATGCTGCAGGCTTGAGGACTGGAGAATTGAAGAGATCGATATGTCAGTGAACTCATAAACTAAGTAGAATTCATGGAGATATCCAAAGTCTTAGTCAAATTGTAATTTTAATTATTGTTTTTCTAGCAAAATGCCTTTGAGTACCTCTAAATTAAAATTTCCCTTTTAAGCCCAGTAAACATTTCAAGAGAATATAATCAACTGGTTCCTGATTTCTCTGCATTTCATCAAGATGATGAGAAAATAAAAATACAGCTCTTTCCAGAGTAATTAGAGCTTAAACCTAAAAGCATTAAGTGGAGACTTGTTTTACAATTTCAAGTGGTTGCCTACATAGAAAATTTGTCTTTCTAGACCTCTTATCAGAATGACAAACTGCCCTACAAAAAGGAAGTGAAAACATCCATTAGCTGGAATGTCCTAAAGACTTTGGGCAGTGATTATATAGTTTATGATGAGAGGCCTTTAATTGTTGACTGAATGCAACCTTAATGTGGTCAAAGTGGACAGCAGAATGAGATATTTAGAAAAAATAAAAATAACTCTCCCTGAAGATCACCAAAGAGCTGAGTTTCTCCCAGAGATTCTTTAAATATTTTGGCTTGTATACTAATGGCCTAAAGTTAGGTTAAATCAAGGTGATAAATTAGTAAGTAAAATGACATGTTAATACCTAATGACATAATTAAATGTTGCTACTAATTCTTCCTTATAATTGTTTTCATCTTTGCACATAGGTTCCATAGATTGCACACTAGCATTCTCTCACCCAACCTGGTACTGGGAAAACCTGCTGAAAATCTGCGTTTTCATCTTTGCCTTCGTCATGCCTGTCCTCATCATTACAGTGTGCTATGGGCTGATGATATTACGCCTCAAGAGTGTCCGTATGCTCTCTGGCTCCAAAGAAAAAGACAGAAATCTTCGAAGAATCACCAGGATGGTGTTGGTGGTTGTAGCTGTGTTCATTGTCTGCTGGACTCCCATTCACATTTACGTCATCATTAAAGCCTTGATAACAATCCCAGAAACTACTTTTCAGACTGTCTCCTGGCACTTCTGTATTGCTCTAGGTTACACAAACAGCTGCCTGAATCCAGTCCTTTATGCATTTCTGGATGAAAACTTCAAACGATGCTTCAGAGAGTTCTGCATCCCAACTTCTTCCACCATTGAGCAGCAAAACTCCACTCGAAATCGTCAGAACACTAGAGATCATCCTTCCACAGCCAATACAGTGGACAGGACTAACCACCAGGTATGTAGCTTCTAGAATTAATTATACCTACTGCTGATGACATGATACAATAGAGCTTTGTATGAACCCAAGATTTTAATCCATCAGAAGGAAATCAGTAAGTAGGGGACTGAGATTCAGTGTGAGGACTGAGGGAGGAAGGGCACAAATTTTTATCATTGTGTTGGAGAGGCACTTTATTTATAAACCAAGCCCTATTTATTTGTATGTAGACATTTAGAAGTGGAGATATGCCAACTAGAAATCTGTAAAGCCTCTAAAAATCATTATCTTCATGGCCTTTTCTTCTTTGCAAAACTAATGACATCTAGCCTACTTTGGAAGTGATCCTGATCCAGGCTTCTTCTCATTTCCCTCCTCAATGTCATGTACTTTATGCATATCACTCTAAAATGACCAGGGTCACTTCTCAAACGCCAGTCCTGGTCCAATTCTATGGTTAAAGAGAAAAAGTCAGCACTGTGCTGACTGTGGGGATGGGTACAAGCTGTTCCCAGAAATTGGTGTTACAGCAAAAAAGAAAAGAGAGAAAAATGAGGATGATGATTTGTCGGAAGATGTGTTTCTATGTGCAAAAGGGTACAGAGTGTAGTTTGTATGAAAGATTATTCAATATTTACACGCAGTATGGTAACTATATGAGATATCAAAAAGGGGGCAAGAGAAAAATCTGCCTCTAAGTTAATATTGGCTTATTAAGCACGTTTGCAAAATTTGGAGCCTGACCTTTAAAGTAAATCAAACATATCACTTAAATATTAATGTTAATTTAAGTAAGTAAATTTTCAAATATTGCTAGCATCCAAAAATCACAGCTTGTGTAATTTCATAACCCAGAACTCAAATTAAAACTTCCTGTACAGTTAATTCTTGAGTCAGAAGCTTAGATGAAGTTCCTAGCATCAGGGGTGAGTCTGTGGGGACAGATGTTTCCATACAAATCACTGGAAGGCAAAACCCAGGAGGCAAAGGGAGAGTTAGCTGCTGCTTCCTCTCTGCAGTCCCACCTTGCTGTCCCCCCATTATGTCCACTACGGCCACCCAGCCTGAGCCCAGAGTCACTTTCTAATTGACCACAGAACTAATGCAATGTGGGTCACCAGGGTCATTAATCCTCATACCCCTGATATTAATTAATGCTGAAATGAACAAAGGAACTGGCTTCTCCTAGAAAGTATTAGATAATGATGGCAGACCCACTTCCAACCAAAGGGAAATTAAGTTATCATGTCTCACTTCTAAATCCATCTCAGAAATGAAAGCCAGAAAGAAATGTATTTCTACTACCCTGCTTCTTTTCCCTATTTTTTCCACATCAAGACTTTAAAATCTTCCCCTTGTTACTAAGCAGCTCTCCTTCTCAGCAGTTATCAGAAGCTTATGAGTAACGTAAAGAGGACAGGGATTTAAGTAGATTTTGTTCAACCTGAGGGCACTATATTAAAGAATCCAATTTAAAAGTCTCACTTCTAAACTAAAGTTACAGTTTGTTGCATTGCAGCAAAATACTTCCACTGGAGCACAGAATGGCCATTATAAAACACCGGTTCTTTCTCCTTCAGTCCTACCCACACCTTCCCCCTGCTTTCTGGCACTTTAGGGCGTGGCAGTAGGTGGTGTACCTGGACCCCAGCTGGGACCTCTTGTCACTTCTGATCCTCCCAGCATCCTTCACGGGGCCTTGCTCTCCTGGCGATTCAGCCCCCAGCCCCGCTGCTAGCGTTTCTCCTGACTTCAGCCTAGATGCTCCTGGCCTTTGACTCCCTTCCAAATGCAGCTTTTTCACCTTGGTGTGGTTCCTGCATAGCCAGAGAGAGGAGCAAGGAAGCTAATCGGGGAAGCTCTGTTCTAAGTAACTAAAAGGTTTGCTTTAAAAATACATCCAATTAGCGCTTATCTTCATCGCTGCCTCCGTGGAAGCAGCATCGGTGTCAGATCACAGCAGAAACGCATTAGCCCGCGAATTGGCTGCTTTCCCAAAACGCCCAGCTGGGAGAGCCGGACAAAGAGGAGCGGCTGCCAGGAAAAGAGGAAAAGACACTCTGACATATTTGAAAATTAAGATAAATCAAAGATCCTTTCGCTAATCTCCACTAATGCGATCATTAGAATCAAGCCAGTTACTCTGACATCTGGGACGATACATCAGCCTTCACTGGTAGTTTCAATAATACATCAAAATAATAAAATTATTTGAAGGAAAAATCGGAGACTTTATGTCTGTGTCTGTAGGACCTAATTGATTCATTGTACGAATTCAGCATCCGACAAACAGGTTGTTTTTGCTGTGTTTCTTGACCAGCATGAGCCATTACGCTAGGAAAACAAAGCTGATTGGATTCGCATTAGCTTTTTAAATGCGTCTTCGGATTTGGGGTTTTTGTAAATGTTGATGTCTGCCTGTGCATTTGTGTTTTCTCCGAGAACTGTAGTATACGATATATGTTGCGCCTCAAGCACACTAGTCCACTTCGTATTCTGCAGATCAGAGATCCAATATCAAACCTTCCCAGGGTGTCTGTATTCTGACAGCTGTCCACTGAGGCCCAGCCCACACAGCGCAAAGCGAAGTGGAGAGTTGGCACTTACCAAGGTAATTTGATAAGCCATATGACAAAATTCTATGCCCGACATTAACTCTTGAATCATAATCACATAGTGAAGAGCTACTCAGTTAGCTTTCGCTGCATAACAAATCATTGTAAAATTTAGTGGCATAAAGGTGCCAATTTTGAGTTTGAGATTCTATAGATCAGTAACTGGGACTGGAGTGGGCCGGGCAATGTCTCCAGCCTTAGCCGGACTCACCCTGTGGTCAGCAGCCATAGCCAGGTGTGCTGTCAACTAGCTGGTCTAGGATGACTACAGCAAGAATGGCCATCTCCAGCATGTTTGCATGGGGGTCCCACATTCAGGATTCAAGGGGTGGAAAGTAGACTCTGCCGGTTGGAGGTAGAAGGTGCTGTCACATCACAAAGAGGTATGGATGTAGAGAGAGAAGTAACTGCAGCCCCTTTTGCTAACCTTCTAAAGGAGGCGCATGCTGCCATGGGACAGGCAAGCCATCGCTTCCCCAGGGCATGAGCCACATCTGCCTTCTTCTGCCTCCAGTATCTACTGAGCACAGTGTCTGGCACATTGCAGATCACACCAGAAGGATCTGTTGACCAAATGAATAACCAGAGGGCTCCTAATATTTCAGGAAATATGAAGGGTTCTGGCAATGTCAAGCTCACCCTTCAGAAGGGCCTAGGAAATACTCACAGGAGTGGTTCTTCATTTTCTATTGGCTGATCCTCTGATCTGAACTTATACTGTTCAAAGACTTGTTTATTTGCACTTGTGCTGTCTCAGTTTTATTTTTAACAAGTGCTATTGATGAGGAGGCCAAGAACTGCTTTCAGTGTCCAAGGAGATCTTGCCTTGGCTAAGTATGAAAAACAATGGTGGCATGTTCTTGGAGTATTTCAGGGCTCAGCCAGTGCTTCAGCTGTAGCACTCCATGCCTGGTTTATGTTCGGCTTATGATCTTCATAGCTACTGGCTCTTTGCTAAGTAGACTCCCACATGAGCATTCACTGCCCATGTGCTCTCAATGCAGTATGACATCTCTGAGCATGCGCCACCCTCCCGTTGCCCTTATTGGACTCCACTTGTAGAGAACACGTCTATCTGAGATTCCGGCCAATGTAGCCTGTCTTCACTGCTTGTCCGTGTTAACTATGACCATAACAATCATACCATCTTACATTTGTATCACTGGATACAAAATAAAGCCTTCTCACCTGCACTACCGCCTTGGCTTCCTATAACCACCCTGATTGGTAAACAGGGAAAACGAAATGCTCAGAGAGGTTCAGTGGTTAACAAGATCACAAGACCAGTAAGAGGCAGAACCCAGGTAAACGTCTGAGCTTCTAATATGAATCCAAAGCTTTCTTCTGCCCTCCCACACAATGCAAACTATCATTTTGCACTCAGATATAAATGGTACGGTCTCATCTAGCAGTTCCCAAGCTTTATAATGAGCTCCAGAAAGTAGGAGTTCTGAAGAAATTCTAAGAAATTCTAGTTCACCAGGTGGAAGTTAAGTCCAAGAGTCTGTTTAAAATGTTAAACTAAGCTTTATCCAAAGACTACCAAAGTCACTTTTGTGGCTAATCTGAATAACCATTTCTGTCAAGCTGATTGCTATAAATTTTTTCACCAAATGGACTTTGTGTTTACTAAAATGATGGTGTTACTCTTGGACAAAGCCTTAACTTTCTATTATATGAAGCAGTCAGTCTCATGGGAGAAAGTAGTACATCGGTGGGAAAGCTAATATATGGTACCTCCTGCTCACTCCTCACTAATAGGGCAAATCTAGTTTTAAAGCACTTTCTTGATATTTTAATCCAAGCAGCAAGTCAAAAAATTAGGAGAGACTTTGCATTTGTACCAATCATAAAACTGTATTATCAGCAGCTAAACTAAAAGAAGAAGCCTAATTGTTAAAGAAGTCAACCACACAACTCTCAAGAGCTGGGTCTTGGTTTTTTTATAAAACATCTGTGGAGAGCTAATTTGAGAAGGGAAGCATTTCAGTCTCATGGTAAAACTCTAAATGAGAACAGCTCATGAAATCACAGAGCTTGACCACATTAGTATGTCTTTTGTTAATAAAAGCAAAATGACTACTCTAGTCCTATGGTTTATAAAGGAGATGATCCCAGCCATGAGTGCATGTGTGTGCACAGTATGGGTGTGTCTCTGTGCACGTGTGATGCTAGGGTATATCTGGGTTTAAAATGAAAAATGTCTTTCATATATAACAGACCTTGGTATGTTTTGATAAATTGGCTGGGAGGAAAAAATTATTGTTTCACTGGAAATAGGTTTATTCCCAGAAAAACATTCAACTTTAAGACTACCAGGGACAACATTTATTGACCAGTTTGTGTCCAGGATATCTTATCTAATCATATGAAGTATGATTATTTCTATAATTGACAAAATCG